AAAAGATCAAAGTCATGATCGAAGTTTAAATTATAATGTGATGGATGTTCACCATGTAGAAGTTGGAAGAAAGAAGCGTGAAAGATTAAAACATAGTGGAAAAATTAAAATGGAACAAAGTTGATAGTAAAAATAGAGACAATGATGAAGTGGTAAAAAGGATGAAGGTAAATGAAAGTTTGCAAAAGCATCGATTAGGCTCAGTTCATCTTTGAATTTAATAAGCATGAGATATATGAGAAGCAAAAGGCTTGTCTTGAAACGTTTGAATGAAGATGATGAAGTTATTGGATATGTTCCTGGTGTTGAAATCTATGTTGATGGTGTTTAAGTGGTCCAAGAATTTTATATTAAGCATGAATTAGCTTTTGATATCATTCTTGATATGCTATAGATTGTGAAAACAAGATATAGTTTTAAGTAGAGGGATAGAAAATGTTGTTGTATGATTCGATCTGATAACAATAAAACCATGTTTTTAATTTCAGAAGAATTCAAAATTTATAAAAACGTTGTTGATGAGGATTATGGGATGAAAGAGAATATGATAGAAAAAAAGTGATATCACAAATGTTAGGTATATATTAGAGCTGCAGGTGAAACTAAATCATACTGGTGAAACTGGTGACTATCTAAAATCTGATTGGCTATTGTATTCAATAGCCAATCAGATTTTAGATAGTCACCAGTTTCACCAGTATCACCTGCAGCTCTAATATATATTAAGTGTAAAGAGGAATGATGATATCAATATAAGGTGCATTAAAGTAAATTGTTGAGATACAATGATATTGATAATAAAGAGAAGAATAGGATCATTAATAAATTAAATAAAAAGAGATTAGGTATAAAGGATGTAAATTTGGAAAACAAACCTGAAACCAATGAACAGAATAATCTTGGATTCTGCCATAGAAATAGAATTGGAGACAAAAAGAATAAATATAGTATATTTATTTACTTGAAAACTGCAAAGTTAGATGATGCTATTGAAAACAATGTTAAAAAGAATATATGCAAAGCATTCATTAGTCATCAAGAGTTGGGTGATACCAATTAAATATTTATAGTTG